TTGAGGTTATCAAATGTGTCTAAATAAATAAATATTAAATATGTATGAACACAAAATGAGATTAGTTTTAACTGGTCGTAAGTAACATATTAATTTATAATATGTTTATTCGGTACTATACCACTGATGGACTACTATTCTGTGTCGTCAAAAGCGACTAAAGGAGATATGACCTATCCATAAAAGCCAAAAAACGGGATAACAAAATTCCAACGTCACCTTTTGTATGGCGTGTATTTTGGGTTGGGTTTTTATTGTCTAACTCTGAGCTAGCTAAACCCTAAGCGTTATTTGTATTTAGTTTTACCTCTCATAAATGTTTAAATATTAAAAATTAATAAATTATATTAACAATGTGTATTTGCCAAACTGTTTGTCACTAATTTTTATTCGAGTTTTACCTACCGTTTTTTTACTCGTTTTTTTTTTTATGTACCGTCAAGCCAATTTTACGTGTGAACGCTACAAGTAACATTTTGTGGAACATTTTGTTCCAGGAACATTTGTTCCGGAATAATGTTCCGCCGAACATCGCTAGTGTGAACATGGTATTAGAGCGTCAAAGGAAAAGTTAAAACCCGGACTGTTGAACGATATGAGTTCAAATCCCGCTACCGCTAACTCCGCTTGAGTAGTACATCGGTACGCAAAAATGTTGATCAATAACGGACCCTACTTTGGATTAGTCTTCATGACTATTTGTGGCTGTTCCTATGCTAAGCCAACAATATCTTCGGATATAAGAACATTGTATAGAAAAATATAGCATGAAAAACTCAAATAAAAGAAATAATATATATATATATATATATATATATATATATATATATATATATATATATATATATATATATATATAATATATATATATATATATATATATATATATATATATATATATATATATATATATATATATATATATATATAATTATATTTAGATGAATAAAAACAACTGATTAGCGGGACTTAAAGTTTCATGCCCAAAGGCAATCATCAGCCGTTAATATAAACAAAAAACGTAAACAAACCGTTACAAAAACGTAAAAATTACTGTAGAATGACATCTGACGTTATAAACAAATCTACGTAATTACGTTTTTACGTAAAAAACAAATCAAAAAACAAAAAGCCGTTATAGTTTATTAGTCCCCTATAAAGATAATAAGAATTTTTTTGAATGTCGACACTGAGATACGATTTCGTTTTTTTTATTCAGTAGGTTTTTTAGAGACAAAATAATAGAGACTCGTTTGATGGGTTTTGAGCGACCCCTAAAATAGTCTTTTATTCAAAATTTTTTTTAATTTAGTGTTAATTTATTACATAGAACACATTAAGGGGATGGCAGCAGACAATTTCAAAAAAAGTTGTTTTAATTGGCACTCTAATATATATATATATATATATATATATATATATATATATATATATATATATATATATATATATATATATATATATATATATATATATATATATATATATATATATACATACATGTTTGACTTTAACTAAGTGATTGATTGACTTCTCCTTGCGCATTGCTGTTTTTACTTCGTGAAGAACCTTAATCTGATCCACGGTCTGGGTTTTTTCGCTCAAACATTTATATTTTATGATACCACAAAATTTATTATTTGAATTTTTTTCGTCTTTTCATAATTCACAGACCATACCATTTCACGGAAATATGTCATATTCAACAAAATATCATACAGACGCTATAATATTTTAAAAGTGCCTTAACTACACCGAGTTATTTCGCCGTTAAAAATATTCACAAAGTACAAAAATATAAAAAGTACAAATAGCTGGAGCAAGAAGAAGGCATAAAATCACCGAGCCCCAATAGTAACGCAAATAAATATCCGTAATATATAATAATCCGTAATATATAAGCAACAGCATTTAAAAAAAAGACAATTTTAAAATGTTAAAAATAAAATAAAATAAAGTATTAAAAAATTTTCTGTTTTTGGTTATAAACTGAATATGATTCGATATATATATTGTATATATTATTTTCTTTCAAAATAATTCAAAATTCATATAAAATTTCTGTTCCAATATCATAAAATATATCAAGAGAATTATTGGTAACTTTAAGAGAATATATATTTTCAATGAAAGTATGATAAAGACATTGAAATTCTTAATATTGTTATATGGTCTAGATTTTTAAATTTATGGTGCTAATTTAGTTTAATAACTTTTAAAATTTTAAAAGTGACAGAGAAGATCTGCTATATTAAAATCCGTAAGTACTAAATAACGTCTTAATTTAGATTTGAATTGCGGAAATGTTTTTTCTTTAATATTAACAATATGCTGAAAGTTTTTCCACAAAAGTGGACCCCGGTACTGAATAGAATAAGAACATAACTTTGGATTATACTTTTGAGTTACAAAGTTATTTTCTGAGAACTTGGTGAGGTATTTACGGCTTACTTCTCTAAAATAACTCAGGTTGTTTAAGGCCAGTCTCGGGTTTATTTCGATTATCTGCGCGTGACGTAATAATTTGTCGTTTAGTTCTCGCGGGATGATTTTAAAACGTTGTTTTACAATATAGCGGTGACTTCTATACTTAAAAAGCCCGACAAGAAAGTTTTTTCAGCATTTATTAATTTTTCAAATATATATCATGAGTTCATAACATGCTATGAATTATCATGTAATACAATGAATTCATAACAAACCATATTATTTATTGTTCAAATCTTAAATATTACGAATTATTAACCTACCCGACAAATTAATTCTGTTGTTACAACCCATCAAAAAGTCATTAAATACAAACCGTTAAATATTACCGAATTCCCGACATTTAAGAGTTTTTCGTTGTAAGAAATGACAAAACGTCAGATTTTCTGTCTGACCTTCTAGATAAAATTATAGATTAATGGTAGAATACAATATCAATGTCGTTTAGGTCGCATATAACTAGAAAAGTTGTTACTAACAATTTAATTGCTTATTTTATCATATATTTATCTTTTAGTTAAAGTACAATTTAAGTCAACCTCCATATTGTCGTCAATAATAGTTTTTTTAACTTTGCACAACTTTTGCTAAGTATTATTCAGTTAAGACAACAACTTTTCAATTTTATATAAAATTTTAAATATATTCGATTTTATATAAAATTTTAAATTTATAAAAAATTATTTAAAAGAAATGTCTAGAAGGTAAGTCGAACTACCTTAAAAATTTGGACTGGCCTAAAAAAACCTGAGTAAGAATAGAATATCGCTGGAGACAGTCCATGTTTTATTAGATACATGAACTGTATGACGAGGAATATGTTACTTTTAAACACATTTAATGCATTGAGTTTACGTAGAAGTGGCTCACAAGGCACTATTCTTTTTACTCCAAATACAATTTTAAATGCATGTTTTTGTTTAGTATAAATTTTCTTTAACTTAGCGTAGCTGTTGCTTGCCCATACAATATTGCCGTAAGTTAGATAGCTATGTATAAAGAAAAAATATAAACTTTTTAAAGATCTTATATCCAAATATCGTTTTCCTTTATACATCATTGCAATGTTTATTGAAAGTTTTCTTTCAAGAGAGCTTATAAGTTTCCTCCATGTTAAATTTTTGTCTAAAATAATACCTAAAAAGTTTACAGTTGTTTGCCTAGTAATATTTATATTATTGATTTTAAGATTGGGTAATTTTAAAGGAAGGTTTCCTGTTTTGGTTGGTTTGTGAAATAGAATAAACTTAGTTTTGTTAACTTTAAGTGAAAGTTTATTACAAATAAACCATTCGTTTACTTTGTTTACTTCTTCATTAACATTTTACTTTGTTTACTTCTTCATTAACTATTTTAATGAGGGTTTTAATATCCCCATGAGAAAAAAACAGATTGGAGTCATCCGCAAACAAAATAAAGTTTAATATGTTCGAGGTAAGAGATAGATCATTTATATAAAAAGAAAACAGAACGGTCCTAAGATTGAGCTTGGAGGAACTCCACATTTTATTATACTTTTTGTCGTTTTAACATTTTCATATTGAATGTATTGCTGTCTGTTTGATAAGTATTTTTTAAACCGTAGTAAATTATTGTTTTTTATTCCATAATGTTCAAGTTTTTTTAAAAGAATAACATGGTTGACTGTGTCAAAGGCTTTAGACAGATCAATAAATACTCCTAATGTAAAACGGTCATCATTAAAGGCATTGGTTACATGAGTTGACTAACTCGGTCTAAGCGTGATCAGTTGAATGATTTTTTTTAAAGTCAAATTGTTTTTTGTACAACATGTTATTTACTGTTAAGTAGCTGTTTAGCCTATTATACATTATACGTTCGAGTAACTTGGAAAAGCATGGTTAAACTGATATTGGTCTATAATTTGAAGAATCCATGTCATCGCCAAACTTAAAAATAGGCAAGACACGTGCAATTTTTAATTTTCCTGGAACTGTTCCAGATTAAAGAGAAAGATTAAAAATGTGATGTAAAGAGTTTTCTGTAATATGAAAAATATTAAACGTTTTGAACAAACCTTTTCGTCAAATAAATTTTAATCATTTTTATCTTGCACTGCGTCTATGAAATAAACTTGCTGAGTCAAATTTTGATCCACAAAATTCTCTCTTTTTAAAAACAAAATAAAAAACTTAATTTTTTCTCTTGATAATATTTTACATTATTAACTACTAATTTTTATCTATTTAGAAAAAAAATATGAGGGCTCACTTTTACCCAGTTTTTTGTTATGTTCGAAATTCGTTGCCATAGTAGTCACGTAGCCATGGTTCGTTGTCATAGTAGTCATGTTTTCACAATTTTCCGTAGAAAATCATTATTCACTTAAAAATTATTCTTGTATTGCGCGCAAGTTTTTACATACAATGGTTTATTGACAACATTAACAAGAAAGTCGAGTTTATATTTTCACCAACAATTTACGTAGACATTTCCTGTTCTTATGGAAAATACATATTCAAAAATGATAAGAAAATTAAAAAATCACATACCTGTTTCAAGAACCTTTTTTTAAGAAGCAGAATGAAAAAAACTAAAAAGTATATACATATATATATATATATTTATATATATATATATATATATATATATATATATATATATATATATATATATATATATATATATATATATATATATATATATATATATATATATATATATATATATATATATATATTAGGGTGTCCCAAAAATACAAATTTTTACAGAACAAAAAGATTTAAAACACATCCTAGTTGTTTACCTTACATAAAAGAAAAATGCAAAATTTTAGGTCTTTAAACCTTCAGGAAGTGTTAGGTGTAGATTTCCAATTTTCTTCAAAATGTATCATGTTTAAATAATAAAACAATTCAAAGAAAAACAGTTTATTTTGGTTCAAAATATTTTTTGTTTAATTAAAGTGGAAAAAAAATTTAAAATTAATCTAAAATACTTTTTGCTAAGGAGTTATATTGATCAAATCACTCTTTTTCATTCTTTTATACACACTTTTACTATTCTCTTTAGCAACCACCATAATGTTTTGTCTCTTATGACTGTCTGCCAGGAAATCTTTTATTAAACAAATATTTTATTCAGAGTCATTTGTGCAGTGAATATTTGAAACAGTATAATACTTCAAAAATACTTCAAGCTTGGATAAAAATCTACAAATTTTCCATCAGAAATCCAAAACAAAATATCTTGTATATTAAGATCGAGTATGAAAAACATGTTTTCCCCAACAAACTCGAGCAAATGAGTGCTCTTGTTAATGATTTTATCTCTCATCTCTGGTTTCTTTATTTCAAAATAACAAATATTCTCGGGATAGGGATGATTAATGAGTTTCTGCATCATTAGAAATTTCTCTTCATTAGTTACACCTGGATTCGCTAGTGATACAATAACAACATCCTCAGCCAAGTACCTTTAAGTCTAGGAAGAAAGATTTTCAAACTATTGTCTAGTACTTTTTCTTCCTAAATGCTTTCGACTACTTTAATAGTCTTGAGATCGTTGGATGGTGCCTGGATTATGATAGATGACTACAAAAAGCAAGGAATTAAAATATTGCTACAAAAGGTGCAATATTGTTGATATCTTCTATCTCTTTCACTGACATAAACTTTAGTTTCTAATGAGTTTATAAAGCATTAATAAATATATTCCATTTGGCATAAATCGAGTTTCATAACAGGTTGTTGAAGGTAAAAATTTGGCACTTCATTACTCAAATAGAAAAAACCTAGTTCCTATAATCTTTTATAGTCTGCCTCATCTTGGAAAAGGTTTTCAGAGCAATGGCATTTCCTACGTATTCTTTAGCTTTTTGTGCTATTTGATGCATGGAAGAATCGTTTTTAAAAATGTTGAAATTAAATCTGACTAATGAGTTAATATCTTTACTTGAAAACTTTCAGTTTTTTTTTTAATTTGAAAACAGTTGTTTCTTTTTTGGTGCCTTAGTCTTTCCTGTTAGCGCTTGCACTAAATGACTTTTTTCTCTGATATATGTGTCGACGACATAAAAGCCACATAATGTGCTACCCGACATATTACTTGCTTTTAAGTTAAATTCCTCCATTATGTGCAGTTGTGTTTGAAGCAGTTGTGTCCGTACAAACAGCAAAAATGTTATTTTCAATTTCAAGATTTTCTAGTACCTTTTTATTTGTTTTGCTTTGTCTTTTCCTTTAGATAAATTTGCTCAGGTCCCATCACACTTACTACAATTCTTTCTAATTTAACAGTAATAATATCTTTAAGATCTTATTTGTTACACAATTTACGATTGAAGTGAAGTAAGAGTTTCTTACCAATTAAAACATTTTTATAACTATTTCTAATTTCTTCCCATTTGTTTTTGCTGGTATGAAATCTTTTTATGTAGGTTCTTGATTTTGACAAAACAATATCTTCCAAATTAGGCCTTGCATGTTTTAGAATTGAGGAAAGAATTGTTGAATGACCTCTTACACCAAGATGAAATCTTGTAGTAACCTTACTAATCGTTTTTATTAATCCGTCCCTTAATATCTACAGGTGCATCTCATCAGATTCTTGTTTTTTTTTTATGTGAACGGTGCAGAGAAACTTATGACTAAATATATTGAAAAATGAATCATTAGAGTAATTTGACTTAAAATTTATTGATTCTGTATCAGAATTAGAGGCAATATGATTTTTAAATAAATTTTTATTCTCTATGAATTATTCAAATTTTTTGTCTAACTCATTCCTACATTCAATCCTCTTTCGATAAATCATGTCAATATCCTCAGTTATATACAGTTTTCTAGTTGACATTTGGTCGGTTAAGAAATCAATGTCCTCTTTAATGGCATCAGGTGATTTGTTGCAATTAGCTTCGATTTTCATAACAATATTTTTCCAGCCCAAAAGTTAAAAGTTTGTTTGAAGCTTTTTTATTATCGGTTTCGAGAATCGAAATATTTTCTTTTGAAGATCTAGTATGAAAAAAAGAAGTTCAATCTAATATGAAAAAAAAGACACAGTTTACACATTTACAACTTCAAAAGAGGTTGACAGTTAAAACTAAAAGTAATAATTTATTGTAAATATATTAGGAAAATTTTACTTTTAAAAATCCATTTGTTTTCTCCATCTTTTGCAGAGCTTTATAATCTAATCTTTAATGGTCCAACTTTTTATTAAGAAGTTATTTTGAAAACCTGCTCTGCGCCAGATTTTTATTAACTCTTTGATAAGACAATCTTTTATACCTGTCTCACATTTTGCACCAGGGAGTTGATACTTTAGCTGATACCCTTCTTTCTCCATGGAGCAATTAATATTTGATTTTGATGACTCAAACCTTAATTGCTTTGAGGAAATAATATGACAATATCTTCTTAAAATGTCACCATTTATAGGCAACTGGTACATGGAAAGCTCTAAAATGGATCTGTTCAAAAGTTACAATGGTCTCCTTGGGTTTTCTACCACATTGTAATTTTTTTTTTCAATATCATCAAATTTTCTTTTTTTACAGCTTGTTCTTCTGCATTGTTTATTGTTTATTTCCACATTACTAATTATTTATATATCTGAAAAACTTTTTGATATATTGATTTAATTAATGAATTATATATAATCTCTGTAATAGAATTTAATAAAATTTGCTTAATTATAAATAAAAATAATCTGTATATATATATATATATATATATATATATATATATATATATATATATATATATATATATATATATATATATATATATATATATATATATATATATATATATATATGTATAATATAGGTAGTTTATTTCTTAAACTACCAATGCTGTATGCAAGAACCAATAGTATATTAAAACACTACAAATTTAGAGTTACAAAATCAACATTTTACACATGTTAAAGTTCAATTTAGTTTTATTAAAACAGCAGATGTTGAAAAATGAGCATTAATACATTAGTACAATAAAATCACACTGCTGCAGCTAAGCAAAATGGTGATATTGGAACTATAAATTTGTAGTGTTTTAATATATTATTGGTTCTTGCATAATATTCAATAAAGTATGTTTTTAGAATTTAAAAAAAATATCTAAATTTATTTTATTATAATTCATTTAGATGAAATAAATAATAAAATAAAAAGTTACGCTGAAGATTCATGGAAACATAAGAAATAGAAACAAAGAAACATAAGAAATAGGGACGAAGAAATATTCTTAGTTAAAAAAAAACTAAGAAGACGCTATCATCTATTCAGTTTTTGACTGTTAAAGAAATAATATAGTATTACCTTTATTTACGAGAGTCCAAACCATCTGTTTCTCTCAAAAACTTATTTTGTTGAGCAAATAAAAGGCTCTACATTTACACTAATTGTCCTGAAGCATAAGAGAACTGCTGCATTATATCTAAGTTGAAAGCTCCCTAGGTACTAGGTGGATAAAGAACTTTTTTGCATACAATTCGTTTTACGTTTAATATTATTTATCAAATCTTAATGTAAATAAATTATAAAGTTATCTAGTTAATATTTATTTTAGGAAAGAAGTTAAATAATAAAATATAAAATATAAAATAATAATATAAAATATAAAATAAAATAAAAAAATGTATAAAATAAAAATATAAAAATATAAAATAATAAAATATAAAAAACTCTAATCCCTTAAAAACAGACTAACACCAGGAGCAATCAAAGAGAGAGAAACCTTTTAATAAAAATAGACTAAAGCCTACTTATTTCATTAGAAAAAAGCTTTTGAGCGATTTTAAGAATTTACATTAATGTAACGGATAAATCATTTTCTCTAACAGCAAATTTGACAGTGGATGTATCACCTGCTGTTTCAACTTTTTGTTTTATAATGTCACATGCATTAATCTATGTTGTACAAGAATTCTGAATTAGAGCTGTACTAAGATTTTCTCTTGCATTTTGAGCAGAACATGGGTTTTGATGAGAGATTTTTTGCACTACTGGTTGCCAATAACGCTGGCGCACTTTGAAAGAACCCCGAGATAGTAAAAAAATTTTGTGCTATATCCCAACAAGAAAGGTATATGTGGCCTACATGTGGCCATAGTGCTTATAAGTGGAATAAAAGTGTGAAAGTATGTTCCAGTTGATGATTGATATATATGCTGATGATCAGTTTGGCCTACATGTGGAACACATAATGCATTCACATGATTATTCCACTTAGTGTGGTATAATCCTTAAATAAATACGTGTTAAATTAGATTTGGCTATCACATGAGCCATATATATAAAACACACAATCTTGCCTCATTTTGAATTTTAAATTTTAACCAATTTTAAACTACGACTCCATTGCAATGCATTGCACTAAACTCTCGAATACTCCATGATATCATGTGGTTTACAGTTTTGATAATTTTCAATTCATAGTTGTATTTATGTTTGAACGGTTTTGTAATGAATATATATAAGAGTTGTTATTCAAAATATACTTCAATAAAACTTGTAAATCAGAGGTACACTTAACGAATAAAAATTTGTTGTTATATTTAACGAGTTATACTTAAGTTATACTTATTCTAAACAGAGTCATACTTAATGAAAAAAAAATTGTAATCAGAATTATACTCAATGTAGATAATAATATTTTAATGTGTTGTGTTTAGTACCAGAAAACAACGTTAGATTTTAAAATGGCGGGCAATGTAAACAAGCTTTCGTTATTACCGATTTTTTTCTCTCAATTTTGTTTGTAAATGGATTTTGTATGAAATTATCTTTACCTACTGTTCGAAGACATTGTAAGAATGCTAGATAAAGAATTTGAAGAAATTATTGCGTCTTCATCAGATAAGTTTTGAGTACCCAACTAATACAGAATGAATTTTTTAAATTTAATGAAAAACTGCTGTAAGTATATATTTATCTGTGAATAAAATTATAAATAATAGCAAAAAGTATGATGTTTTTCCATTTTAGTTTTTAAACTAGAGTTTCTATACAAATAAGTATACATACAGTATGATACTTATTTGTATAGCTATATATGTATAATTATTTGTATATTCTATACATAAACAAATCTACTAACTTCTTTAAATATGATGTTTAAACAAGTCAAAAGATTTGTTTGTATATTTTTTATAACTTTCTTGTAGGAAAATAATGCGGCTTTTGTTCTTATTTAGTGTGGTTTTAATGGGATAATCATTATGGAACGCACCAACGCCATCCCATAAAGGAGAGTGGTAAATATATGGCTAAAATATCCCAGGGGGCATTTGTTTTTAAAGGTTACGTTCTAAATGTATTTCAAATGTCTTTTAAATGTCTTCTAAATATTCTTACCTAAAAAACGTTTAAATGACATTTAGAACGTAATTTTTAAAAACAAATGTAGGGATGCTTACCACATGTGGGCCACATGAAACTTTCACGCAAAGATGAAGTGTGACTTTTGTTCCAAAAGACTTTTGTAAAAAGTCTTTAGGACTTTTTACAAAAGATTATATAAAGATTATAGCCACATATGGAACACACCAAAGCCATCCCATAAAATAAAGTGGTAAATAAATGGTTAACATGCAATTCCCATATATGGCCCATATGAAAATTTCTTGTCGGGATATATATGTATATATATATATATATATATATATATATATATATATATATATATATATATATATATATATATATATATATATATATATATATATATATATATATATATATATATATATATATATATATATATATATATATATATATATATATATATATATATATATATATATATATATATAACCGTTATAAAAATACAAATTTAGCGTTGCAACGGCATCTGACGTCAATTATTCGTGATCCGATATTTTATTTATCCGATATAAAACTTTTTTCCTATGCCTACAAGCAGAAACCAATTCACTTTTTTTGTTAAGTAGCAGTCGACTATTAAAAGTCATAATAAAATACTTTTCATTGATGCAAAGGTTACACTTTTTTGTAGATTGGTTAAAAGATTGGCATCTTTTAATTATGTTCCACTTAATTATAGGCATGTTACCCGCGTTTTTAAGTTTACAGATTTCCTTGGAAAGTTCCGTATCATTCCTATACCTGGTTGCATTAAATGATTTAAGATGGTTTGCAAATCTGAGCTTGAATGTGTTTTCACTAATTCCGATGTAGGATTTTTTGGTAAGACTGGTATTAGGTGATTCTAAAGTGGTTTTATATACAACATTTTTTGATAGACATTGATTATTTAACGGGCATGTGGTTTTATTAATGCAGTTGCAGTTTATATCATTATAGGTAAGTTTGTTGCGCAAAATTTGTTGGTTGTGTGAATTAATTATTGATCGAATATTTGGCATGCAGCTTTAACTAATTTTTATTGTGTTTCTGTTGAATATTTTGTGGAGCTTATGATGTAATGGAAAATGCAAGTCAATTAAGTTTAAGAAAAGATGTCCAATTTTTGTTATCACATTTTTACTGTAAGGAGGGTTAAACCATATAATATTTCTTTTTCGTTTATTAGTAATAGAAGAATTTAGATTTGAATGACAATGGAGAATGGTGTGAAATTCAGACTTTTCTAATGCGTCATTATGAATTGGAGCAGTCTTTTGGAATATATCTTCGCTTGAAGAATTAGAAGATAATCTATGTCCAATTGAGATTGGTAATTGTTTTAAAATGCTTGGTGGATGGTTGGAATTAGCATGGATATAATTTAACGTACTATCAGGTTTATGGTAAGGTTGAAAAGTGTTTTTATTAAGATTAAATGTAACATCAAGGTAATTAACAATTTTTATATTAGATTGAACGGAAATACTGAGGTTGTTTTGTTTAAATATTTGAGTAAAATGCTTCTTAATTTTTTCCATTTTTGGACCGCTTGCGTTTTTAAATACAGCTAAGCCATCGTCTCTATATAATCCAAAATCAGTTTTATTATAAAATTGCGAAATCTGGAAAAGAAGAAAAATACCAACTAATTCGCACACCTCCGCTCCATCAAATGCACCCATGGTAACATCAAACAAACCACCTGATTTTTTAATCCAAACTTGGTCATTGGTAAATAATAAAGATTTACGCGCGTGGAGGATTAAAGATTTATGATCAGCATCAATGGAAACGTATTGTTCTACAAATTTTATGGAATCGATAAGTAGCTTTTCATTAATAGAAGGATAAAAGTCAACGATGTCGAAAATAAGGAATTTATAAAAATGTTTGTCATTGATGTTTTTGAACCAATTTATTACATTTTGTGTACTATTCCACTGATTTAATCGCAAAATATTTCTAAGGTTGGTGTTAATACCTGATAAAATATGCTTACTTAGTCTACCAACCTCATTCTTAGCTGGGTTAATTAGACGAACAGTAGGATTATTTAAAAAATTAGGTTTATGGTCTTTTAATGTAATGAAACAATTGGAAGAACTGTTTATATTGATTTTGTTAAAAACTTCATGATTTTTAAGAATAGTTTTTTCTTCTTTATTAATGCGATCTTTTATTATAGGGTCGGTTTTTTTATAATTAGATGTAGTGGCGTTCATTAATAACTTATTGTATTCGTCTTTTGATAATTTATAAAAGTTTGATGTTTTGTCAGCGTGAGTGTAAGTATTCTAATATTTTACCAACGTATGTGTGCTAGCTGGGTAGTATGTCAGCTTCAAGGAAAATAATTGCCGATGCGCAGCAAATTCAAATACCTTAATAGTCCGACAACTTATTCCCTTATAGTTGCTGAATCGATTAGTAAAGCATTATCAACATGCCTACATCTGACTCTAGTTTGTTTTTAAAAAAAATCTGTTAATTTGCTAAAGTTAGAGTTAGAGAGCCTCTATACAGATAAAAAATTGTTAGGGGAAACTACGCGTCAACTTAAGATCTAAAAACGTTGTCTACTTATATTGTTCGTGTTAACCAGTTTGTGTTGCGCGATATAATCTTTACTCCCAAATATAAAATTTTTATTTAATATTTGCAAATAAAGCTCATCTCGTTTGTGTTTAGGCACCAATGTTTGTTAACATCGTAATAGGCCATCAAAATATAAACCAATTTTGATAAGTTATAGCTGTACGGCTTTAATTTATCAAAATTGCTTTGCTTTTAAGTTTGTTTTTATCAAATTAGCTGTTAGCAGTTCTAGGGTATGTGACAGGGCATTCTAACAGTTAATTGAAAAAAAACTAAAAAGTATACATAAAAAGACTTTCTTGCCTGTTTTTTTTCCCCTTGCGCAACCTAAAGATCATAAATTTTTGATTAATTTCTTTATGATTTAGTTTAGTTAAATCTATAGAATAAAATTTTATACATTTTATATAGAAGTATTGGACAAAAAAATTTTATAGATTTTATATAGAATTTTATTGGACAAAAAAAATTTTATAGATTTTATATAGAATTTTATTGGATAAAAAAAATTTTGTAGATTTTATATAGAATTTTATTGGACAAAAAAAATTTTATAGCTTTTATATAGAATTTTATTGGACAAAAAAAATTTTAGTAGCAATTCTTCAGATTATTTTGTATTAATTTTAATAAATCTTATAAAACTTTGAAAACAAAATTATTATTTAAGTAAAATGATTCCTATACACTTTTAGATAAAATAAAGGAAAAAATAGAGTTTTTATTTAAAAATCCTATTAAATCACCAAGGGACCTTATATAAAATGTTTAAGGTTCGATACTGGCTATGGCTGAATTATGACATGTGTATGAAAAGCAACATTAACTTTCTAGTTAAATGCTTTTCCTCGGTGTTTGTGACAAAAATCTTTGGTTTTTTTGGAGCAACAAGGTAAACAAGGTGCTCATCATCAACAACAACAAAAAATTGAAAAAAAATGTGTATAGAAAATCAAAGCAAGTTTTTGTTGTGGGATGTCACTCAAATAAATTATAGCTTTACAATAAAAATTTATGATATACTTACATAATCTAAAATTGGCTAACATCTCAGTTTAAACTTTGAAAAAGTTTAAATTGTTTTGAACATTTTTTAGCAAGACTAAGTTCAAGCTATCTAAAACAAAAATTGCCGTTTTTTATTATATAAGCTCATTTAGCCAACTGAGCGGAATAAAGCTCATAGACCATAAATAAAGTTACCGGGGCTACTGAGTGAGTAGCTATTTATAGTTATGTATGTTTTGAACTATTTGTTTTGAACTATTATGTTTTGAACTATTTGTTATGTATGTATTTATTTATATATGTATATATAGATTATTTTTTTATATTATTATTTGTATTTCGCCGATAAATAAAAAGTTACAAAAAATAAGCAATGCAATTATACTAAATGCATGGCTCAGGCATAAAGAAGATAAATCGCCTTAAATTAAAATTTCAAAAATAAAAATACAAAAGACTTTTTAATAGTATAATTTTTAAATTTATAAAAAAGAATATTCTCTAAATCTCAAAAAATCTCAAAAGCTCAACTTAGTTCAAGAAAATCGCTATAAGTAAATTTTTTTTTCATCGTTAAATATTTCATGTACTTGAAGAATAAGTGCATGATCAATGTCCAGATTTAAACCCAATTTGTATATATTTTTTCCAATTTCTTTTTTTTTTTATTAATATCCCACGTTTTTTGTGTCTGACAATTTTTCTTTAATTTTTTAGGATTAAGGAAGATTCATTTTGTTATCCAAAGATTTAAAAGCGTTTTCGATTTGACTAGTTTTGTAGTTTTCGGAAACACCTCATGATAATGTTTTAGAAATTCAGTTAAAAAAAATATGTAGGTATTATTAGCATTTTGATTTTTAGCGTTTCTTTCCAATCTACATACGAAGAAAATATTTCATTAAAGTATCATTTATTATTTGTTTGGTTACTTTTTATTTGGCTCAATCCATTTATTCGATATTATAAATATCGAAAATCGATCAGAAATATCCGTTTTAAATATTCAATTTGAAGTTGTATTATAGGTATTATTAATTTGTTTATTTTCGTCATAATCTAAAATATTTAAGTTAATGTCACCCAAAAAATAAACACTCATTTAAACCATGGAATTATAAAACAGATTTAAAACTTAACTAAACTTTGGAATTATAAAACTTTTATGCCTCCATGTTTTAAACTCGATTTATTTTTAATTATATTATTATTGTAATTTTTAAACGCATTAGCTATTCGTGAAGGTGCTCTGTATATCTTATGCACAATAATGTTTTCTGAGGCTTTTATTAATGACTTCCACGCATATTGATTAATGGTTGTACTTAAATTAGACTTAAATTTAAATGAATTCCTAAAAAACATACATAAAATTAAAAATTAAATTTATAGAAAATCATATGTGATAAACCACAAAATAAAAAAAATAAAAAAAAATAAAAATCATTTTTCTTATATATGTTTTGTATATATTTTGTTAATCACTCAAACTTAAATGCATAAAAGTTAACCAGATTATAAAAAAGGGACAATTTGTTAACATTTCAAACAACTTGAATGTTACCTTTTAAAAATTGCGTCTTTCTTTTTATTAAAAAGCAACTTATTTTAAAATATATTTACATTTAAACATAAAATTTTAATAAATACCATCGATCAATAGTCGACATTGCTAAGTCAACACTGCACATATTATTAGATGTTCTTACGATAGCTTATTGCAATGATGTTTAATAAATGAGTAATATAAGGCAAGTGTAACTTTACCCCCACCAAAACACTTTTGATTTGAATTAACCAAGTAGTTAGTAACAACACGCAGTGTTTCAAGTCTAGAAAGAGACCTCGGTGTTGTCGCTTAAATCAGTTAGTTTGCAATTTTTTTAGTATGTTTGCCGTTACTTCTGGTTGATCTTTTGAAGTCAAATGTTAAAGCTGCTTTCATTTTACTCACATCTTTGTCCACAGCCTACAAACCTGTTTGTGCTTCCCCACGTAAACCCATAGATCACATAGATATATAAACTTGCAAAAGAACTTTTTTAGTGCGTTGTAATGTATATTATTGTTTTGTAATTAGTTCATATCAGTGATATAAATTTACCATTTTAAAATCAAAATTTACCTGAAAATTGATCGGTAAATTTTATTTTAAAACAGAACAATTTTGAAATTATAATGAAATTCTTTAATCAAAAAAAATACCATAGCAAATATCCATTTCAAAAATGTCAAAATTTACTTGTAAATTTACAGGTAAAGTTACCGTAAGTTTTACATTCGCAACGCTAGCTCATATTCACAAAGTTAAACATTTCACAACATTTTTGCTAATTGTCTCCTTCGTTGTTTATCCATGAATGACCGAAGTTAGGGTATTTCAAAATTTCACTAATTTTCAAAAAAAAAGTCGTAAATATTCATAAATTAATATATTTTTTTTTTGTGAATATTTTTTGTAAATGTAATTTGGCGATTCTTAATAATACTAATATTAAATTTGATCACTTATTTCAATAATTCTCTTTTTTTAGATTTTAATAATATGCATTTTTTTGAATTTTTGCTTCCTAAAGAATTATTTCAGCAGGTTGCAAATAAACTTTGTTTTTTTTTAAAGGTTCATATTTACGAAGTAATGACAAATATTTTTTGAGAAAAAAAAGCGATTTTACGGGTTTTTGTTTTTTGTTAAAATAATAACCTTGTATTTGTTTACATTTTGCATTAACTTTTATTGTTTTTTGCTTTACTAATAAGTAAACATGTTTATTTTACTTTGTTTTATTCTTTGTGTTATTCTCTGCTTCTTCTTTGTGTTATTCTTTGTTTTATCCTTGTGTAAAACAAAGATACAATATTTATTTTTCTTTTCATTATAATTAAATTTCAAAATCCATTATTATTTTTTAGATTTTAAATATTTTGCAGATTTTAAATAAGCTGCCCATTTGCTAAGGACGGCCCTGAACACTGATTTACAAAAAATCGAAGCATCGAGGAATAGACAGTTTGAAAGAAAACGAAAATGAAACTTTGATCAATATTTCCAAGCCAATCAAAAACACCCTAAATGCAGGAAGATATTGAGATATTTTCCAAAAACAGTTTATTATTAGGCCAATGTGTAGTTACATATTATATGTTCGTTATGACAGCTATCCTTTATATAAAATTTTGATGATTTTTTTGAAGGTGCAAAATTCTATAAGAAATCATATTCAATACTCAGTTAAGAAAAAATTCAAGTTTTGCGCTTGCAGGATGTTCATGATTGGCAGTATAAAATAGTGAATTAAAAGTATATAAACTGTTTGAAGAAAAATTTGGAGCTAAGGACGTTAAAAAAGGAAGTTTTTAAATTATCTCATGATAAAGATAAATTGTGTTTTTCAAAAACTCTCAGAAATTAAAACTTTTAATTTTGAATTAACTAATTATTTAACGATAAATCTTCTAACTTTGTTGCACAAAGTGTTCTGCGTAAGGCTATTTGATATTATATATCGTCTGATATTTTAGTAGATGTTTATTTACTACCGATACTCCGGTTGACTTGTTTTTTTCTTAAATTTGGTTTGATAAAAAGTTTTTGCTATAAACCTATAGAAGAAGAGTAACATTTTCAATTTTTAAGTAAATTCGTGTTATTAAATAATGCTTTTCACAATCTAAAAAAAAAAAATGCGGGTATAGAAAAAAATAGTATAAATGAAATTAAATCCTTTTTGATATAAAAGTCTAATTAGACATTTAAACCTTAGTTGCTTCATATTTTTAATCTCTCACTTAAATTATACGAATTAATCCGGTTTAATTAAAAACTGCTACACCTGTTTTCAAATCTGATGATGAGACTAATTTTACATATAATACTATTTCCGTTTGTTTTTTTTTGTCTTTTTTTTTTTCAAATTTATTTAAACGATTTATGCACAGGGCAGGCGCGAGTAGGTGTTAAGTTTGCCGACTAAAAAAAAAGTAAAAACAATGTCCTCTAATTCCCCACTTTGTCAACGAGAAAATAAAAAGTTTTGTTACCGACTGGAGGTACAAAAAAGTCATCATTTTTCCGACTAATGGAATAAAAAATCTCCAAATTGGGGTGTCACACCCCACCATTGCGCCGACCTTGTTTATGTATATCAGACTTTTTAAACACCTTATTGAAACTAAAAAGTTTACACGAACCGATTTGGTTCGTGTAAACTTTTTAGTTTCAATAAAAAAGAACCATTATGCAGACCACGCTATGATAGAACTGGTTAATTATTTATCAAATGCATTTTATATCAATAGTTATACTATAGGTATTTTTATTAATTTTATCTAAAGCTTTTGACACAGTAAACCATGAGGTACTTTAAAAAAACTAGAACACTATGGAAAAAAATTTGTCAAAAAGGAAGAAATTTAAACTTAAAGAATCAAAATATTAAAAAAAAAAACAAAAAAAAAATTTGGTACTTTAAGCTTCCATTTTAGGGCCAATATTGTTTTTACTTTAATAAACTTATATTAAGCACACAGTTTCACAGAAATTCACAGAAAGGCTGAATAAATATGAAAAAGATAATATAAATAATCTTGAAAAGATTAGCAAAATTGAAAATGATTTAGAGATAACAACTAAAAAAGTAATCTCTCTTGAGGCTGACTTTACGGAATTAAAGAAATACATAACGACCAGTGATCAAATTGCTACTGAGAAATTTGAGGTAGTAAAAAAGAAAACTAAAGAAATAAATAGTAAATTAAGGGATAAAAGTGAGTTATTAAAGGTAAAAAGCAAACTAAGAGAAATTGAAGATAGATCGAGTAGGAATAACCTGAGAATCGACGGTTTAAAAGAAAATGATAATGAAAGTTGGAGCAATAGTGAAGAAAAAGTGTTGAAGCTATTTGAAGAATCACTTGGACTGAAAGAAATTAAAATTAAAAGGGCTCACAGAACTGGAATCAGAGACGGCAAAAAAGTAAGATCTATAGTACTAAAATTACTAAATTATAAAGGTAAAGAAAGAATCCTAAAAAATTCTTCAAAATTAAAAGGCAAAAACATATATATAAATGAGGATTATTGTGCGGAGACGGTACAAATAAGAAAGGAATTACGGATGGAAATGAAA